TTGGCTTCTGGGGCCTGCAGGGGTCACCTGCTGTCCTCCATGGCTAGTTCCCCCTCGGTTTCCATCCTCTGGATACCCATGACAGTGATAGTCAGACGTTACGCCAAGCATTGTCTCCCCGGTCACCTCTCTGGCCACCCTATGGGGTAGCATTATGATCTGTTACAGCACCCAGATAAAGAGGCACAAAGGAGTGACCTGCCCAGAATTGCAGGTGCTCTAGCTCCAGAGGCTGCTTTGGCCACTTGCCTTGTCGGAGATTTGGTGCTGCTGACATCTTTCAGACCCAGCAGCCTGGAGTGAAGTGCACAGACAGGGCCCCATCTCCCCCTCTGCACCCAGTGATGGGCAAGCACCTTGCAAGTTCTTAAGCAGCACGAATCGTCAGAGAGGATACAGGCTGTGCTTAAAACAAGCCAGTGGGACCCTCTACTTCACACCACCATTCCTGGTGGTGAAGAAGGATGGAGACACCGGCATCCACTCTATGGGAACTCTCTGGGTAGTTCGAGAACCAGTGTGGCCCTAGGACCAGAGCCCATGCCCACAGGCTAACTCTGGGGCCATCAGTGAGTGGGTTCCTGACTGTGCCCACCTGTGCCCACCTGTGCCCTTATCTGGAGGACAGCAGAGCACATCCTCCTTCACTATGCTGGCCCTCTTCTCAGCATGCAAAGGTAACTCCACCCAAGATACCTAGAAACTTCCCAGTCCCCAGAGAAACAGGTTGGGCCCTTGCATCCCATCAACACTGCTTCTAGACCTTCGTAGTAGCCTGGAGGTGTCTGTCCTACAGAGCCACCTTCCCTCCTGCCCTATTTGGAAAAAGCGACATTGTAGAGGTCTGTGATACATTCCCCTGAGAGCCAGATAGGAAAAAGAAGCTCCAGGAAAGGCAGAAGAGGGAAAGGCCAGGGTAGAGGAGGCTTGCAGTAGTTGGGGTGGTTTGATTTGGGAGAGGACCAGGGGAGGAGGAAGAGTGGGAGAGAGCAGGTACAAGGGGTTTGGAGGGTGTAGGAGAGGAAGGGGTGGCACAGTGTGTCCAGGCCTGGGCTGCCACACAGACACACAGCATGCTCAGTGCATCAAAGCAGTAGAGAAAGCAGGTAGGGGCTGAACTGCAGCCCAGGCACCCTTACACACCACATGTCCACCTTTTCCATTTCATGCAAAGGTGATCTGTGGCCCAGGGGCTGTCCTGTGCAGGGGTGAGGGAAGAGGGGAGACCTCTTCTTGAGAGTTACCGGGGGATAAATAGGAGAGGAATAAAAGCAGAGGGGACACCTGTGGGTCTGCACTGCTCCTGATCCCTGAAATGCCACTCGTGAGTCACCTGTCATGACACATATGGCTCAGGAGGGACCAGTGCCCACCACACTCAGGCCTTGTCCTGGGAAGGGCCAAGCCTGGTGATAGCATAGTTTTGGGCTCTGCTGGACTCCTGCTCTGATCCCTGCTCACCAGCTGACCTAAGTGTGCTGGCTGAGATGCCTGTCCCTGAGCCCACAGGCAGCTGGACTCCAGTTTATGTCTTTTGGGGAAGACCCAGGTTCCTGCCAGGGCTGGGGCTTCCTCCTGCACAGGGCTGCCACGACACCCACCTCCGTATTCAGGAAAGCAGATGGTCAAAGGTGACTTCTTGATCTTCTCGCCAAAGAGATCTTTCTTGTTGAGGAAGAGAATGATGGAGGTATCGATGAAGAACTTGTTGTTACAGATGGAGTCGAAGAGCATGAGGGACTCATGCATGCGGTTCTGCAGCCCCAGGTGGGAAGAGAGCAAGACAGGAGAGGGAGGACACAGAGACAGGGAAAGAGAAGAGGAGAATTAGGTTTGAGAGAGGGACTGGGTTCCTCAGCAGCTCATAGAGCCCCTGTGCTCTGGGCTCCTCCAAGAGGCTGACAGACAGAACCTACAATCTGTAAACATTACAGTGTACCTCATTCAGGCTTGCAGAGCATCTCTGCATCAGTGCACCCATCACCTCAGGGCCAGTGCTGAGCCTGCACTGGGAACTGACCATGGTTTTCTGGGCAAAGCTGAGGACAGGGACACCCAGGGTCTTCCCACTGCAGGGTCTCCACCCATGTGAGGGTCTCCCAGAATGTGTATGTGTGGTGGCAGTGCTGGAATGCAAGTGGGGAGCTGGGCTTTGGCTCTGTGTCTGGACCTTCTGGACCCAATCTGGGGGTAGAGAATGTCTTCTGGGAGTGGTGAGGGCCTCCAGGCTTCTGTGGTCTGATGGGGAAATCCTCAAGTCCTGTTGGCATTCTTGGGGGCTGCCACGGAGGAGATGCTCCTGCTCGAGGCTGCCCCCAGGAGTGCCAGGGAGACTAGCCATACCTGCTCTGGCTGGGTCCAACTCAACCACGTCCCCCCTGCAAGGGATTGTAAGCAGAGCCTATGGAAAGTGCTGCCTTGCACACGGAAGTTTGATTAGCAAGTGGATGCATGTGATGAGCATCCCCAATAAAGCCGAGTCCTAGGCAAGGACAGATTTTTCTACTTTGGGAGGCCAAGCACATTCACTTGGGTAATCTATTTTTGCAGTACAGAGGGAGGTGGGGGAAGGGACAGCCTCTCTTTATTTTCCCCAAGAACCTTGTGCTAGCCCTGGGAAGTTCACCACCACAAACCTAACTCCTTGTGTCTAAAGTCCAAGTCCATAGGTAACCTAGGCTATGTTACCCTCTGAACACAGCTGGAAACAAGGAATGGAAAAGAGAAGAGAGCTGGTGTGGCTATTAGTGTCTTTTTTTGTTGTTCATTTGTTTTTTTGGTACCAGGGATTGAAGTCAGGTCCTTGCGCTTGTGAAGCAGGCGACAGAACCACCGAGCTAAATCCCCAGCCATCATTTTTTTTTTTTAAAGGTGTACTTGGTCTTCCTGAGAGGAGCAAACACAGGAGCTGGGGAAACTGCTGGCTCAGTGGCCATGGCCAACTTCCTCTGTCTAATTAGGAGAGTGAAGAAAATGACAGAGTGACCACCACTGGTCCCCAAAGCCCACTCTGGGGCAGCTATGTGCCTAGCACTTCATCTACCTTGTGTCACCTAACCTCATCAACCCTTAGGGGACAACAAAGTGACATAGCTAGGACCCTAAAGAGCAAAGGCTAAGGCTGGGCATGCAGCTCAGTGGTAGAACATTTGCCTGGCATGTATGAGGCTTAAGGTTCAATTCTTAGCACCACATTAAAAAGAAAGAGAGGAGACTTATACCCGGCCCTGGGGAGATCCAGAATTTAGGCATTGGTTTCTTCAGTCAATCTGAGTAGTCCGTGGCTTTTCATGGTATAAATAACAAGAGAGTCATGGCTGGTTCCACACACGTTATGACTAGTCCTTCCTTCAGTCATCTCCCGCACAACTGCAGTGCTGTATCAGTGACATGTAAGCCCTGTTTCTTACGTGCTCAGGTCCGTTGATGGAGGGGCAGTCTGAGTGTGGCCCCAGGTAGCACCTAGATACATGGCATGGCTTTAGCCTCCTTCAAGATCTGTACCCAATACCATTGTCCGTTGAGTCCAATAAACACAACTGGCAACCTCTTATGATTTCATTGATCTTCTAGCCTCAACCAATGAATTTCATTCCCATTTCCCTCCAAAAGAATGTGTCATTTGCATGATCCCTTTCAAGGAAGAGCAAAACTCATTTGCCTGTGCTATCTTGATGGAGTCCATTCTAGAAAGGGCAGGTAGTTTCCTAGAGCCAAGTGAGCCATGTTCAGGACCTATAGCAGGGAACACTCAGGGCTTAATGGGACACCAATGGTGGTGAGGCTCTGAGACTCCAAGATTTCACTGGGAAAGGGCTTGTGCTCCACACAGGAATGTCCTGCAGCTGCTCAAGGAAGAGCTGAAAACCCACAGTCAGAGGTTAAGTTCCCAGTTCTATTGCACAGGTGTCTGTGGGGGATGTCTGGCATTCCGAGAACCAAAAAGGGAATCACAGAGGGTCACCCAGGATGACCCAAGCTGAGAATGTGGACTGTGCCCATTTGGTACATGGCCTGGGCTGAAGGTATTTTCCCCAAGAGGACCTGAGCTTAGGTATGGATGAGGACTCCAGGCCAGCCCACAGAGGCTCTCAGGTCCCTGCCTGCTGAGGCTCAGTCCTCCATGGCCTCCCACCCCGCAAGTCTTCAGGGCTGCCCCTCACTCTTCCAGCTGATAACAACTCTGACTGGCACTAGTGTGCAAGGCCCCCTTCTGGGATGCCACAGGGATGCAGGGTGGCCAGACCACGCTCCTACCCTTGGAGAGCTCACAGTCTAGTGGGGGAGTGACAGTGCACAGATATTAAACATGTCTGGGGTCCTGGGAGTGACAAGGAGTAGAGGAGGGGTCTGGGGAACAGAGGACATGCACAGTCAGGCCTGCTTTGTGAGGACAGGATCTTGGAGTGGGCCTAGAAGGGTGAATCCTGGAAACTTAGGGAGTGCAGCCAAGAGGCTGCTGGGGTGAGGCGCCGGCACCAAGACCCTCTCTCATGTTCCATCCCTCTAGACCCGTTACCAAGGAGCCGAGAGCACAGCTCATCCTGATGAGATTCCGAGGAGGAAACACACGGAGTACACTCAAACCAGAGATGCCAAAATTTGAAAAAGAGAAGCGGAGGTCACAGATGGCCCAAAGGCTCCCACCCCCGCCCTCTATAGCCTTTCCCTGGAGCCACTGGGAGCCCTCCCCAGAGCTATCTCCCCCAAGTCCTTCACCTACTCAGGCTGCAGTGAAGCCTGAGAGCAGCAAGAAAGTTGCATTAGCACCAGACATGTGGCATTAGCACCAAGCAGGCCAGGGAACCAGGAGGCTACACTGGAAGGCAGCTGGGCCTGGGCCTAGGATGGCAGGGCAGCCAGGCACCTGGAATCCAGCAGGCTTGTGCCCAACCCACCAGGCTGCGCATGGACCTAGCAGGGCACAGGGACAGGTGTTGTGCTGTGCACCTGGCAGAAGCTCCTTGGGCACTGACTGACACAACACATTACACACTAGAAAGAGCTGGCACTTTTTATTAATGATAGGTGACTAATAAATACATTATGGCAGCCAATAAATTATTACAATAACTAGAGATTTATTAAACCAACAAGTCACTCTTCTTGCAAAATTACAGTTAATATGGGTTGGATGGTGGTGGTGGGTTGGGAGGTGGGACCACTGCACCTAGGAAGGTTCTGCTAAGGTGGGAGCCAGCAGGGAGGGCAAGCATGGTGGGCAGATATGGGGCCTCAGGAATGGGGTGTGGGAACTGGGTGAAGGACATGGGTTCACACGCTGCTGCTGATCTTGATACACAGGAACTGGGGATGGGAGTGGCTCTTCAAGGGGAGCTCCTCCTGAGAGGGCTCAGGATTTTGGATTGGGAGCCAGTCTTTCTGCTGTTGCCCCTGCCTACCTCTTCCTTGACAGGGCTTCCATCTGGTTGGGGTGGGGTCTGTCTGGAGGCCCCAGCCCCACATTCTTGGAGGGTAAATTAAATTCAAAACTCTCCCCACTGAGGGATTGGAGAATAGGGAGCTGTGCCACAGACCCCAGGGCCATGGCTCACACCCTCATCCTGTTCTCTGGGCTGCTGGGACCCTTCACTCTCCCACCTGTGGCCTGACAGGGGAAACTGTCAGCAGCTCAGATCAAACCTTTGTTGGACCCTCAGCTGTTGGCTCCTGAGAGCTGCCTAGAGGCTCTCAGAAGGGTCAGAGATAAGTACAGGCAGCCAGAGAAGCTCAATAGGGGGTGGGCAGCTGCTACTGGGTCTGGAGGAAAGAGGTGGGGCTCCTTATGACACCCTCCTGGTTTGGATCACATGTCAGGGAGGTTTAAGGGTACACTAGGTCAGGTGGTAAAAAGGTGGGCAGGTAGATACAGGGTGGCCAGAAAGAAGTCTGCCACTGGGATACCAACAGTACGATGTATTTCGGGAGCTGTGATGTAATCCTGCTGGTGGTAGGGAAGGGATTAATGAGGCAATGCCAGAGCCCTCCCTGCTGGGCTTTGCAGACAGCCTGGTTATAGAGCTGGGGAGGTGTGAGGCTGCCTTCTGCCCCAGTCCATGTGGGCAGGGGTGGCTCCAGTTCCCACAGTAGAGTGTGGGGCTGGGCTGGGGGGGCAGTGGCTGGGAGGCAGAGTTGCCTCCTGACACTGGACACGGTGGAGGTCTGCTTGGGCTTAGCCAGGCCAGTGGGGACAGAAAAATACAGGGCATTGGGTAGTCATGGGACCCAGAAGGCCAGAGCTACTGGTAAGGACACAGGATCCTCAGGCCAGAGACTTTGGGCCTAAGGTACCCCCAGCCCCACTCAGGGAGGGAGTCTTGGAGGCCTCTGTCAGAGAGAAGGCAGAGACCTGGTTCTTGGGACTGCTACCGGGAAGGACACAGAGCTTGCTCATAGGCATCTAAGTGATAGGCACATTTTCACCAGTTTAGCAAAGGTAACCTTAAAAATCAGCTTCCTCTTGGCCTACTAAATTATAGCCATTCAGAGTTTAGCACAGCCCCTTTGGGGACACACCCAGGGCCACTGTGGATAAGTGATCCACCCTTGTCTGGTCACTCGCAACAGTTCCCCCACATCCATATCCACGACGGAGCCAAAACTCACATCACCTCCAGGTGCTTCCCCTCCACCCCATGGCAGAGGCAATGGTGACAACACGGCCGGGAGTCGTGGTGCCCAGGGAATCTTCCCTGGATCTGCTCTCTTTGAGGGCTACACTAGACAGCCAAAGGCCCCTCCCTTGGCAGGCTGGGGTGGGACAACCAGTTGAAAGCAGTGCAAGACAACTGAGCAAGACAGAACATCTGAGAGAAGAAAAAGGCAGCCTGGGAAAAGGCAGGAGCACCTGCCCCCCAGTCCTACAGAGGGGGAGGAATGGATCCAGGGTCCTGGCTCTAGCCTGGAGCTCTGGCCACTGAGGGAGATAAAGAGCCCAGGTCCAGTGACAGATCCATGACTTCCACCTCAGGGGCAATGGCTTTAGAGATAGGGTTTGCCAACCTCTCTCTCTTCAGGTATTTCTGAATCTGGGCTCAGAGTACAGTGCAGAACTAGGGGCACAGCTGGCCTTACCCAGAGTGACTTCAGTGTTGGGCAGAATATTAAATAGACCTTAGCCTCTCATGGCAGGACACTGACACAACTGGCTCCAAGGGCCTGTCCTCTGCCACGTGCCAGCACCTGGTACAAGGTTCAGAAAATGATGGAGGTGAACAAATAGATGTGGGCTGGGCTGATGAGCTGGTTCAAGAGACTGGCTGCCGGAGGCAACTGCAAGACACAGCAAGGAAGGGCAACCCCAGGGGAAGGCATTTGCCACTACAGAAGGACCCTGGATCTACCGCACCACCCAGAGCTCTGTGCCTGTTGGAACCAACAAGCCCAGAGCTGCTGGCATGGGGCTCTTCCTGGTTCCTGGGCAGGCCAAGAGGCTGCATGTGAGAGCCCAGGGGTCCTGCCTGTCTTGGGACAGAGCCATGTTTAGAGTAGAGACCAGGAGAACATGGGGCTTGAGGAGGGAAGCAGAGGACTCTCAGGAGACAGCCCTCTCCTGTTTTGTGGCACATCTGCCTGGGCTATTTGCCATGGCATCAAGCCACTGGAGGCGCCTGGGAGTGAGAGGGAGATGTGTTGACTGCCTAAGGCCAGCCAGGGTCAGAGTCACCAGAAGCCACTCACCTCTCTCCACTCAGGGACTTCTGCGGCAAAACTCTTCCAAGGGGTCCTAGGACCCTCCCCCAGGGGCAAGTTGCATGTCCGAGTGGGGCTGGCCCCTCAGAGCTTGCACTCCAGGGCACTGGTTCCCCCTGCTTGTCTTCCTCTGCCCCTGGAGGCTGGGAAGACAATGGGGGCCTCCTGACTTCTTGACCAAGTTGGAGTGAAGTGGGGACACTGGCTGCAGGGAATGGCCCGCACCTCCCCTTGGCCTCCTACTTTCAGGACCCTCAGCCCAAAGGCCTCTGCCCATCCTGCTAGTTTCAGATGGACTCACCATTGACTTCAAGAAGGAAAAGTATGTTCACTCACACCTGGAGCAGCTGTGCCAAGCAGCCCTGTGCTGCTGCCTCTGGTTCCCTCCCCAGAGTGGCCCTCTTCTTCCCTAACTCTACCTGGTGCAGGACTGGACTCTAGCCACCCATCTTTGCAGCCAGTCATTCTCAGAGCATTCCAGGCCTGGAGAAGTCAGAAATGGGGCCAAAGGTAGGGGAGGATGAACAGAGGAGGTAGGAGATCCTTGCCAAGGCCCGAGCCCCAACAATGTTGGCCTTGTCCCACCCTGGCTTTTGGTGACGGAGCAGCCCTCAACCAGACAGGTGCTAGGCAAAGCTGAAGGATGACATCTACTGTCCCCACCCTGCCTATACCCTGCTGCAGGGCCGTCCTGACACCGTACACCCAGATGACAGGAGACCTCAGGACTTCTCTAAGAGCCACGGAGTGCAGGACATGCCCATTCTGGATTAAAAGGCAACTTTGTCCACTCCTGCACCCCAGCCTCTGAACAAAACACTAAGATACAAAGCAATGGCTGTGAGGGGCACCCAGATGGTAGGAGATGGTCTCCTGCTTTGTGGTGCATGGCACAGTGCTCAGCACCCCTGCTCAGCTCTGTTACCACCCATCCAGCTGTTGGAGGGGTAGAAGTGGGGGTGCATGAAGGGTGCTCCCTCCTCCCCCCTGGTGCCAGCCTCTTGGATCCTCTTCCTCAGTGCAAAAAGCAGTCTGAGAAGTGGCAGAGCTCTGGTTCCAGGGGAAGAGTGGGTGGGGTCTGGGTAGGGCATGGGTATGTGGGCAGGAGGCCGGGGCTCAGTAGAGTCCACAGCCCCGAAGATTTTTGGCAATGATGACGTCCGTCACAGCGTCAAAGACAAACTGGATATTGTTGGTGTCCGTGGCACAGGTGACGTGGGTGTAGATCTCCTTGTGGGATGACTTGTTCTTGCTCTCGTATTGGGCCTGGATGTAAGCCACGGCTTCCGTGAAGGCACTAGGACCTGTGGGATGAAATGGCAAGGGAGGTAAGAGGAAGTGCCTGTGGGGCCACCAGGCATGTATGCCCTGGGCCTGGCTGGTGTGGGCCATGGAGCAGATACCTACGGTCTTCTAAGAGACAGCTTCTCAGAAAAGGCTAGCGGTGTGGGGAAAGTGAGGGCTCAGCTCCAACAGTGGGCCAAGCAATCCCCTCAGTTAGGGGTTCCCTCCTTCCTTGCCCCAGCTCCAGACTGATCTTGGTGACTAAATCACTCCACCTGCTTCCACCGCCCATGGGCAGGATTCATAGGTCCCCAGCTTATGGCTAGAGAGGAAGTTGGCTGCTGGGTACATAGCTGTGAGGGAGGTTGAGCCCTGCTCACTTCTGGCTGGAGGCTCCTATGATCCCATAGGGCAGTCAGCTTGATTTTGAGAAACTGGGTGGGGATGGGAAAGGGCAGGAGGTGAAGAGGGCTGCACTATTTGCCTAATCCCAGGCCATGGCTCACAGGTCTACCCTATGGAGTCTCTGTGCACCCCTGCTTTAGGCCCTCTGGGCCTGAGGGTTGGCCAGGCAGAGAATACCTCCTTCTATTCATCTCTCTGGATAGGGCCTAGCCATCTGCGAAGAGCTGATGAGCACCGGGCTACCTGGGGCCCTGCTATAGGCCTGTTGCCACCTGACTAGGGCTGCCAGCCTTACAGTTCCTCAGGGGCCCTGGTTGAGCTGCTTCTAATCTGCCCACCTGCCCAGGGTTGGCTAAGCCCACTACAATATTGACAGCTGGCCTCTTGTCCCCAGCACCTTCTGCAGGGTGGCCAGGGCCCTGCAGCTTGCAAGCTCTGTCACATTCAATACACCATTTGAATCTCTTAGCCAGCCCACGTGGGAGGTGCTATTAGGATGCTTCTTTGTCACCATCATAACCCTAATGGTCACAGCAAACACGCTCTTGTGGTCATTAGCTTGTTTCATCTGCACAGCAACTCTCTGAGGGAGGGAGGGCAATCACGGCAATCATCTCGCCTCACAGATACAGAACTGTGCACAGTGAAGCCACGTGACCTGCTCAGGCTGCTCGTGAGTGGCCAAGCCAGGGCTGGACTTTGAGTGGCTTGACTCTGAGTCCCAGCTTGTCACCCCATCGTCGTCTTGGTGTTCCCATGCACATACAATCTCTATCCACAGACAGGGGCTCAGGCTCCCTGAGGTTGTTGAGATCACATGGTTAGAAGCACAAAGCCCAGATTCTAGCCTGGTGAGCTGCTCTGACTGCTTCACTATGGCACACTTCAGGCATGGGGCAGAGCACAGCGAAGGAGGACAGTCTGGTCCCTCAGCAACCTCTGTGGCTAGAAGGGGCTGTGCAGGCCCCTGCTATCCTGCAGAGGGGTCTTTACCTGTGTATTCAGGAAAGCAGATGGTCAGTGGGGACTTCTTGATCTTCTCTTCAAATATGTCCTTCTTATTAAGGAACAGGATAATGGATGTATCTGTGAACCACTTGTTGTTGCAGATGCTGTCAAAGAGCTTCAGGGATTCATGCATGCGATTCTGCAACAGAACAGGGAGGTGTGTGAGGGATGGCAATGTGGGCGCCCCGACCCACCACAGCCACAGCACAGCGGACAAGCAAAGGGAAGGCCCACCAACGCGGCTGAGTGCATCGCTGGGGACAGAGATGAGAGGCCCACGGGACACACGGGACATGACCCTGCTTCATTCCACACGCAGGCAGGGCAGTGGAGCTGGAGTGGGCAGGTGGGAGGTACTGCCCCTTCCAGAGGGAGCCGGCCCAGGTGGGGCAGTGAAGTCACTGGAGAGGCTCCAGCTCCTGGAGAGGACATGCACCATGCACACAGGGGGCAGGGCCGCAACCACCATCCAACACATCTACACAGAACCGCAGGTCATGCAGACTTCTCTACCAGGGCCTCATTTGGTTTCACCAGCAAGGTTGGGAGGGTGCACACATTCAGTTGGGTAACATTAACCGAGGACTGAGAGATCCTCGAATTAATCCAGAGTTGGAAGCAGATACCGGGGGACATTTTCTCCGGGGTGATCTTGCTGTGGCCTTGGTTGGCTGGGTGATTTGGTTTGGCTGGGTAGTAGATGGGGCATGGGGAGCCTCTGGGAGAACTGATTGTTGGCTGGTTTCTCAGTAGAGGGGCCAGAAGAACCCCAAGGGGAAACTCAGCAAAGCAGATTAAAAATGAGAGGAAGATAAAACCCCAGCAGCAAATATGAGAGAAAGAAAGAGAAAAACTGAAAACTCGATTCGACCAGTCTTGGAGCCAGAAGTCCCAGCCAGTCCATGTTGAGGCCCCTGTACCTCAACACAGAAGCCAAGGCACGTCTGGGACTGGGACTGTGTGGCCTGAGAGGAGGGATGGAGGTGGGGAGGGTGACCCTCAGCCAGAAGAGCGAATGAGTGGCTGATGAATGTGGATGGGGAGTGGACTGGGGTAGGCTTTCACAGCAAAGTCACCAGTGGTGCAGAGAACCTTCTGCTTTCAACTCTTAGCAATGGTTCTGGTTGGAGGGAGGTGCTTCATACCTGCTGGGCTTGGAGGGTCTCTCAGAATCTGCTCATGGATTTGGCCTTGGTTTGGCAAGATAAGGCCCTGCAGGCGGTGGTGGTGGCAGTGGTGGTAGAGAAGTTGTGGCAGCCTGTGGCCTGGCTGGGCGGTGCTGAGAGCAGGTACGAGGACAGGATGAGCCCTCGGGTCCCAGGGTACATCCGGTGGGTGGCAGCCACTAGCCCCTGGGCCCGCATGGCGTAACTCCAGAGCTGCCTCCAGATACCTCAGTCTCAGGCAGCTCCAACTCTCACCCCAGGCCTGGGTGAGAAGCACGGGGCTGACCAGAGAGGAAGGCTGAGGACCAAGGACTGGGTCACTGCTGGCTATATCTTGCCTCTGGGGAAGAGCACGCATGCTCGACAGCCTGTCCTTGAGCCATGATGTCTGGACAGAGGACCAAGACCTGCCCTTCACTGAGTGACACCTCTGATTCAGGCCCTCTTACAGGTCTGGGCCTAGAGGTATCATGGCCACCTCAAGCCCAGTTTGCCCTCATCACCACTTGCAGAGGAGGTCCATGGGGTGCAATGATTGCCCATGACCTCACAGCTGGCAGGACGGCGCTAGACCCTGGATCAGGCTCATCTGACCCGCAAGCTGAGCATCTCCATCCATGTCTGCCCACGCATGCCCGAGACACCGATAACTACTTAGTTGTTGTTGTTGTTGTTGTTTTTCTGGTTCTGGGGATGGAACTCAGGACCTTGGACTTGCGAAGCAGGCGGCGGCTCCACTGAGCTCAATTTTCGGCCTGACTACTTGGTTCTTTAGCATGGGCACTGTTTATGGTAGTGAGCCATCTCTGAGGGCTGCTGTCAGGTCACCAAGCCAAACCCTATTCCCTGGAGGGCTGCTGCTCTTCCCTAGGCTTTGGAGGGGGCTAGTCTTGGGGACGAAAGGCCCCAGGAAAGACATGCTTTTGCTTCCCCAAGGTCCTGTGCTCCAGCCTTTGTGGACAGCAGTAGGGGAGACAGGGAAGTGAGGGAGAGGGGTGAGAGGAGAACAGTTAGAAGAAGAGGAAACTGCAGGGAAAGTGTTCCAGGACACAGGTCCTGCTCAGCAGCATCCATGAGGAGTTCTCAGGGGAGGCTGGCCAGGTGCTGTCCTCAGTGCCCACATTCCCTGGAGACCTGAGGACCATGGAGCTTGGTGCCCTTGGCTGCCGGACCCACCCAGACATCCCCCTGCATCTGTACTGTGCTCCAGAGGTTAGCAAGAACCTCAGCCCCATGGTCTCACCACAGTGACAAGGTCTCCCACTACAGCCTCTAGCTTTGGCACCTTCTGAAACCCATGGTGTGATGCAGCAGCTACTTGCAGGTGTGGCCAGGAGAAATGATGAACCAAGCCAAGTTTAGACAAAGGGGTGGCCAAGAGGACACGAACAGTGGCTAGTAGCACAGGGTCACCTCGTGGAGCAGTGAGGGATGTTCTGGGGGCAGTCACTCTCAGGGACACATTGCCAGGAGCTGTGCTGGGCTTTGGGTGTTCACTGAGTCTGGGCCTAAGCACGGCTCATGGCGCGCCTGGCCCACACTAAGGGACAGGACTAGGCTGGTGCCTCTTAGAACCACTACCTGCCGAGGCCATTGAGAATGACATAGCTGAAACCCAGCCAGAGAGAGTCAGCACACTGCGCGGGTCCAGGTCCCCTCCCAGCCGGCAGCTTCCAACCCCAACTGCCAAAGCCCCACCATGGTGGTTGTGAGCCCCTCAGGGCGGCGGCTCCTTCCCCTGAAGCACTGCACCCAGTAGCCCATACCCCAAAGCTTATCCCTTCTTCACAGCAGCCTGTGGGAACAGCCAGGCTGGGACTGATGAGGAAACTCAGACCCACAGGGAAGGCGCACCTCACTCAAGGCCAGGATATTGATGAACCCTTCCTCATAGCCCTGCTGCTGACCTAAAGGCTCAGGGGCTATGGGTCTCAGTGTGTTTCAAATGAGAGGACAGATGCTAGGGTGTGAGCCCACAGCTGTGAGCCCCACTCTCAGGCCAGGGGCTTACCTCCAGTGACCCTTCAGGCCACACTAGAGGTGTGGCTTCCCTTGTAGAGCCTGAGGAAAGAAAGGCCCAAGTCCCCTGGGGGCTGCAGCCTAGGTGGGGCCTGACCACCTGGCTAAAGACCAGATGATCACCAGCAACAATACAACCACCAGGTCGGCACCGCTGTTCCAGAAACGGCTCCAAATGCTACACCCAACTGGGTCATCTCATGCCATTGCCAGCTCCTCTGACAAGGTAGAGGGTAACAGCAATGGAGCAGAAAGAGCACAGTTCACATTGCTTTCCAAATGATTCTCCCTCTCCAAAGAGGGTCTGGCAGTTCTCAGAGGCCAAAGCCAGAGCCCCTAGGCTGAATGTGATGTACAGAGGAAAGGTGGGAACCTGTCCTGGCATCCCACAAAGACGGAACTCAGAGCCACCCCTGTCACTCAGCAGTACACCTCATCCCCACCGCCCTTCCCAGGGTGCTGACCCCACACTCCTCTCCTCGGCACTCTGGCCAGTGCCAGAAAGGGCTGTTGAGGCTAAAACCACTATTTCTGTTCTACGAGTATTCTTGCTTGGCTGCACCCTGATATTTAGGATTTGTTTAGTTCTGTTGTGGCCTGATGGCTCAGTGATGCCACTGAGTTTACTGAAGAGGTGCTGCCTGAGAGCCCATTTCTGCAGAGCTGTGTGAACAGTTTGCACCCTTCCCGAGGCCTTTGCTTTGGCAACACAGAGGGAGAGACTGGGCCTCATGGCCTCTCCAGGATGGGTCCGGAGCCACTGCAGCTGGGTAGACCCAGGAGCTGTGTGGGCTACTGAGGCCCGAGTGCTCCCACAGATGCCACTTCCATGGCATCTTCACGTCTTCTGTCCAGTATATACCCAGGGCCACTTACCGTGGTTTCGTCTTCGTGGAGCACCTGGTCATAGCCGCTGAGTGCGACGCAGAAGATGATGGCCGTGACGTCCTCAAAGCAGTGGATCCACTTCTTGCGTTCAGATCGCTGGCCCCCGACGTCAAACAGCCTGCCCGGAAGACACGAGAGCTGTGGATGGTGAGGCCCAGGCAGGTGGGGAATGCCTGGTGGTCCAGCTGTGAGTGTGCTCAGGGTGGGCACAGCAGTGCCCAGTGCCTCACAAGGAGGCCGAATTTCAGGTGCTGACAGACTGACAGTTGGACTACTGCCATCCTGGGGATAGGGGCAGCCATAACTGCTCCTGAGCCTGTCTTAAGAATGTCAGTGCTCATCAAGTGTGACTCCACTTCATGGGAAGAATTTTACTAAAGGGGCAATCCCAGGTGTCCCTCAACGAGTCTCTCTGAGAAGTTCCCCTCTCATGCTAACACTGGCATTCTGTTCTTGCATATGTGCTCTGGACAAACTTTAAATCTGACCAGGAGGCAGATGGGCATGAACTCATGTTTCATAAGTGGGAAAAATGAGGAGGCACCAAGGTGCCAGGGTTGTGCCCAAGCCCCTGGTGGAGTCCAGCATGGTGGAGCTGGGATCTGACTCAGGCCTGTCTACAGACAAAGTCAGGGTCCCCTCCTATGCTCCATACCACCCCTTCCTAGCAGATTGGCTCCTGGCCTCTCCCTTCTCAGACTCCACCCCGAGGGGTCCAGGGAGGAGACTGAGCAGATGGGACTCGAGTCCTCTTGTAAGAGGTCAGTTTCACACCCTAATCCTCTGCACAAGGAGCCCCAAAGCCTCCTGGAGACAGAAAGCCCACTGGCACTCAGCTCAGAGTGGGTGGGCCTGGGCCCTGTGGACAGGTATCCTGTGCCTCCAGACAGAAGACAGGAACTGCAGGCAGAGATCAGAACAGAACACAGGGAGGCTAGCCAGGGGTCTCTGTGGCCCCTACAGAATGCGACTGCTGGGCAGGGCTGAGCTGAAGTCCCCATCTTGTACCTCATGGGAGAGCAGGAGAGCCCGGGAGGCAAGAGAGGCCTCTCAGGGTCACGTGGCCCACCCCTGTGGCCCAGGTCAGTGGAGGCCCAGTGTGGCTCCCACAGTCCTGCAGAGAGGCGACCTGCTGGGCCCAGGAACTGGACTGGAGCCTCAGTTCCTCTGCCTGGACAGGAAGAACAGGGAGCCAGGGAACAGCACTCACACCTGTCTACTGGCTTGAGGTCCCTCCCTTCTCTCCTGGCATCCCTCCCTGTTCCATCTGACACCCAGAAACCATACCTGAAAGGCAAAGCAGTCACCGCCAGGCCTCAGGGTTTGGAGGTTGCCCCAGGGGCACACAGCCCTCCAGCAACTTGAGAAATCTCACATTTGAAGGCACTTGGAGCCCCTGGTCCTCACTGTGTTCTGGGCCTGTGCCCTCAGCTTTCCCCTATATCCTGGGAGAGGGGGCTGAGCTGTTCTCTCAGCACCTACAGCTCTGAGATGTCTTGGGTCCTCAGGATCTCACCAGTATCTCTTGAGCTTACCTACCATCTCCTCTGAAATCACTTCAGGGAGGGGTCTTCCCTTCTTTTCTACCCAAATCCTCCCTTTCCTCACAGCCTCATTTCATGGCTCCTTTCTCGGACAGGCTCCTTGCTCATCCTAGTCCTTGAAGGTGGCAGAAAATAAGCACACAGACAGGCAACCTGTACTAATGCCGAAGCTCACTGAGGTGGGGTGCTATTTGGCTATACCAGGTAAGATGAGGCTGACTTGGGTGTCTCCCATCTCTCCACTGCCCTCACCAGAGCCTGGTAGTCTTCCTGGGCCTCACCTGAAGTGGAGGTTCTTGAATGTGAAGTGGGTTTCTACGATGCCAGTGGTTTTGACCCTGGTTCGGAGGATGTCCTGCTCGGTGGGCTGGTAGTCAGCGGCCCCAATCCGATCCAGGCTGTCCAGGTAGCTGGGGAGGGCAACACACAAGGGGCCATGGACCAGGCACTTGGGCACTGCTCTGGTCCTGAAGGGCCACCTACCTTCCGAGTCCAGTATCAGGTAGGCATTCTCCCAGGTGACTGGACGGGCCAGCCAGGGGTTGTGGGGACAACCAAGGCAGAAGGACCTGGCCTTGAAGTCTCAAAGAACCTGTCATTCAGACCCAAAGGGGCTGTCCACACTCAGGCACAGCCTGAGGTACACTCAGACAAGACCCTTAAGTGGGATTACAATGTTTATAATATCATCCTGTCATTTCTATTTCTTCATCTTATTTTTTGGTACTGGGGATCGAACTCAGGACCTCGCGCTTGTGAGGCAGGTGGCAGAACCACTGAGCTAAATCCCCGGCCCTCTTCATTTTATTTTTATTTCTTTTTGGTTTTTTGAGACAGGGTCTCTATGCAGACTGGCCTTGAACTCACAGTGATCCTCCTGCCTCAGCCTTTCAAGTGCTGGGATAACAGGTGTGCACTACCACGCCTGGCTTCTATTCCTTCATAATAATAATAATGGCCAACAGTTAGGTTTGTTTATTTATTTATCTAGTGGTATTGAAAATTGAACCCAGAGCCTTTGCACTGAGCTACATCCCCAGCCTCTCATTTTTTTTTTTACTTCATGCAAAAATAAAATTTCATAACAAAATAACAAGAGAATATCAAGTTAATACACTGTGTATTGTTATCTTCAAAGTATTTACTCAGAGTACAAGACATAAACCAAAAAGATGCCTACAAAAAAGAAACATAATAACACAAAACTTTCTTTTCAATGATCTAGGATAAGATAGTAGTATAAATGAAACGAATTAGCATACATACTAAAATATTTCTGAAACTAAAGAACATGTAACTTGGGGAAGTATTGGAACTTCTTCCTACTTCTTATTTATCTTTTCTATTTTGCTGTTTATTTGTAACCCATTTATTTTGGTACTGGAGATCCAACTCAGGACCTTGCACTTTCCAGGCAAGCGCCAGAACCACTGAGCTAAATCCTGGGCTTTTATTTGTATATTTATATTTTGTGTTTCTCATATAAGTCAAACCATGCAATATTTCAGCTTGTGTGACTGACTTTTTTAAAATTTGGAGACAGAGTCTTACCAATTTGCTAAGTTGCCCCTCCAGACTAGGCTCAAACTTGTGATTTTCCTGCCTCAGTCTCCTAGACTGCTGGGATTACAGGCATGTGTCACCATACCCAGCTGGTTTATTCTTTACATGTGATCATGTTCTGGCCTTAATTTCCCTGTATCAAGTGTACTCACTGTTTTGTAATTAGAAAACCAAGGCTCAAGGCAAGTAAGTACTGTGTACATGGCTTGACCTGGACGCTTGCCTCCAGTCAGCATCTTTGTTTTTAGTGCTCTGTGCACTTCGAGGGGCGCTGAGCATTTGCCTGCTTTTCTACTCTTCCTTATTTACCAAGGACTCTGTCTGCTTCTTCCCAATGGATGCTCTGGGAAGCGGAGAGAGATGGGGGTGGTGCTCAGGGCCCACATGGCCAGACAGTGGCAGGGACCACACAAGCCCCTGGGATCCAGGTCTTTGGAATCAGCATTCTTCCCAGTGCCTGCTCTGGGGAGCCTGATGTGCTCTCTGTGGAAGGGTCAGTGGGGGTGGGAGGGCTGGGAGCTGAGGCTGCTCCAGTGCTTCTGCTTACAGGCTGTGCGGGTCTCCTTGACCCTGCTCTCTCTCCTGCTGGACACCAGACCTGGGGATCCCTGGTCCTGCCCCTCCCATTCCAGCCAGGCAAACCTCCCTTGGACACATGACCTGGCTCCTGCCTGTCTCAAACAAGATGGCAGTGGGAAGGCAGGGAGGTGCTGGAGAGGATCTGCACCTGCTGTGCATCCTCCCTGCCCACTGCCCCACATGCCAGGTTGGGCAATGACACAGATCATGACTAACACAGGTGTCCCTTTCCAGACCTGCGTACTAACAAGTGTACATGCACATGTGAGTAAGAGAGGTAGGAAGTGTCTGAGAAAAGAAGCAGGCAGCTGTCAGGGAGGTCTGTGGGGTGGTTGGGGAAGGAAGGTTTCTAGACAGGGAGCCTGGGGGGAGTAAGGGAGTGGAGGAGGAGCCTGGCACAGGCAGGGAGGGAGTAGTGAGGCAGGAAGCACACACAGCACACAGAGCAGGAATGGGAGGAGGTGAGCCAGGGACAGGGCTGGGCAGATCACAGTAGAGAGTGGCAGACAGGGTGGGTAGAGCATGCAGGCCTGTGGGGTTTTGGTATGGATGAGCTTTTGCTCTGCATGAGAGGGGAGCCCTGGGAAGGCTGCTGGAGCCATGCCTCTGCTGGCCCTGGTGGAGCTTGCTGAGGGGCAGGGTGCTGCCATCAGCCAGGTGAGAGATGACAGGAGGCAGACACATTCTGGATGTATCTGATAAGCCACATTTGCTGGTGGTTCAGGGTGAGGGATATGAGAGGAAGAGCCTAGAATGCCTCACTTCAACAGTGAAGACTCAGTCAACGGGAGGGAGGAGGGAGGCAGGTGCCCTTGGGGAAGGTGGACTTAGTTCCACAGCCTCATTTTAATTTGAGGTTTGTTTGAATCTCCAGATAGACATCAAGGAGGCAGAGGTCTGAAGATAGGGTTGACCTGCAGTGCCCATTTGAAAGGGGTCCAGATATGCAAGGAGTTAAAAACCATGTGGGACTGGAGATTGGCTTTGGCAGGGAGAAGTTTGAGGTCAGAGCTCAGGGCTCCAGGAGAGATGGGCAGAAAGTGTGAGGGTGGCCAGTGAGGAGGTTGAAGCCAGTGTTCAATGAGCTGGAGCTGCAGGAGGAGACCTGGGGCCTGAGAGTTCACTCACGAGCAGCCTTGGTAGGTGGAGGAGGCTGATGGCCAGCAGAGACAATTTAGTGGGGACCAAATCTGGAAAAACCAAAGCCAAGCAAGGCATGGAAACTTTTCCCATCTCTGGTTGTGAAGAGGAAGGCCTCAGAGTGCTTATTCTGAGGGGAGAGCCAGCTGTTGTTTGCAGAGGTGCAGGCACAGAGCGTGGAAATGGCTCAGAAACGACAGACAACGCAGACCTGTCCCTTTCCCTTCTGAGCCCTGGGCCCTTACCTTAATGGGCAGCGCTCAGGGTATGTGGTGACTGGGGCTTTAGGGTGTCAACAGTGTTCCCTGGAACTGTGCAATGTGACAGCCCTACAAGGTCTCCCTCTCTTTTCTATCACAACATATTTGCTTTTATTTTTTTAATACATTGGGCCTAAGATCTTATCATATGATGAGATTTAACTGCTAAAACAACACCAGAGTCCTGGACCAAAAGGTATTTAAGGTCCTTCTGACTCTTATGGTGTGTCTGTCCCCTCTTTCATGCTGTACAACCTTGTCCCAGAGAGGAAGCACAGAGGACCTAAGTGGAAATCCTGGCAGGGGAAAATCTGGAAGGAAACAGAGAGATGAGAGAGAGAGAGAGAGGGGAAGAGAGAGGGAGAGAGAGAAGGGGAGTGGGGAGAGAAAGAATATGAAGGGGAGGTGAATTTCCTCAGCTTTACTTGGTGCGGAGTTAACAAATACTGACCTGAGTTTCTTATTTAAAGTTGTAATGGTAGCCACCGGAGGAACTAAAAATAACCCTGTAAGTAGCAGAAAACTGAGGTGGATGTGGAGGGGTGGAAGGAAGGTGGGCTGAATCCCTTATACCCTACAGTGAGGGTAGGAGATATTCTACTTAGGGTTGGGAGGCTGACTTTTCTTGTCACCACCAGGACAAAAAGTGGAATAATTAATAGCAGAGGGGACAAGACTGGGTTCATGCTATACCCATCTATTGTTCAGAAACTCTTTTTGAGATGTGTTCATTTTATAATTAATGTAGTAGGTAAAAATGTAAGTGAAGAGCAGATTTGACGAGCCACCAAAGACAGCTTGGAGCCAGCTGGTGCTGAGGGGCCTCTGAGGGTCCTGCTACTCCTCCCAGTGGGGCAGGGAGGTAGAGAAGGAAAGAGGCTTCTGAGGCTCTGAGGGCCACCTAGGCGGCCCTTGGGGAAGCCAGGTGACAGGAACACTCTCTGGCTTTTGGGTTCTTGGGAGGCCTGGCCCTGGCTCTGTGAATTGAGTGTGCCCAGGGAGTTTGGATCTCCTCCCATCAAGGCTCACCAAGTCTGAGGGCCAGTGTGGCTACCACATGGGACTTGCAGGATTTAGGCATTTGCCCCGTGGGCAATCTAGGAGTGCAGAAATGGGAAGACACTCCTAGCCTTACTGGAATTCCTACTTTGTTAGCTGCCATCACTACCAATGAAAACACCCAACTGTCCATTTGTGAGTGCTGTTTCATTGGCTCAGTCTGTTACATCAGCACAGGGCTTCTTCATGACTTTACTGTTAATGTTTTGGGCCAGATGTTCCTTTGTTGGGACCTACCTCAGAGAAGGGATGTTTAGCAGTATCCCTGGCCCCTACCCACTGGATTCCATGAGCATCACCAAAATGGTGACAGCCAAAAATGCTTCCAGACATTGCTGAATGTCTTGGGGGTGGGGCAAAAAAGGCTCTAGCTGAGAAGCACTGGAGACAGTGGCAGATAGTGGGTTAAAGCCCAGGAGCTCTTTGCTTCAAGCCCCTACTGAAAGCCTGGGCACCAGATAGCCAAAGCGGGGTTTTTAATCCTGGGCACCAATATGCAAGCAATCCCAGTGCCTGCATGGGAGAAGACATTCCATTGCAGGAGCTTCCCATCTCTGGGGCCTCTGAGCTATGGGCTGAGGGCAGTAACCAGTGAGACATCCAACAGTAATACAGTACAGCTCAGTGGGTAGGCCTCAAGAGCCCCGAGGCCCTTTCTCTACCTTTCCCCTCTCTAGCTCTTCTCACCTGCTCTGGCTTTGTTTCTCTTCTCCACCACTTCCTCCCTCCCAATCTCCCTTCTCTTTATTTAGTTATTATCTAATAATAAGGGACATCTGTTTATTTATTGTATCTATTAAGTGATGCTACTTATGCATTATTATTATTATTTTACTTTTTGTGATACTGGTGGTTGACCCAGGGCCTCCACACTGAGCTACATCTCCAGTCCCTTCCCCTTCTTTTTACTTTGAGATAAAGTCTTGCTAAGTCACTAAGTTTTCCAGGCCAGATTTGAACTTGTGATTCTCCTGCCTCACTCTCAAAGTGCTGGGATTATAAGTGTGCATCACTATGTCTGGCACTTATTCCTTATTTTTAATTTGAAAGCTAGAGGAATGAAAAGTTTATTAAGATATTATAATTGTTTTTTTAATTCTTTTATTGGTACATTTTAGGTATACAATACATTTACATTTCTCATTGGAAACTTGTACCTTTACATGATGCATCTTGGTTCTTATTTTTTCCAAGATATTATAATTGTTTTGTGGTGCATTTGTGTTGTGGAGATTGAACCCACAGCTTTGGACATGCTAAGCAAACATTCTACCACTGAACTACATTCCCAGTTCTAAAAGTTTAATATTTTCTTCAAAATGACACTATTTGAGTTATGCTCTGCATATGGCCCTTGGTTTGTAATTATGTGGTCAAGGGCTCCTGAAGGGAAAAAAGTCAGCTCCCTTGGAACCTTCATTCTGGGTGCAGGCATAGCCCAGGACAAGTAGGTGACAAGTTCTGGTCCTTGGAGAGGGGACTTTCCTGTTTGGTTGTCTCTCCTGCCCGCTTCTTTCCTTGACTTCCTTATCCTGGGGGCAGGAAGAAAAGCCCCTTGTTCCTCCTGATGCTTGTCACCAGAGGTAGGAATGGCCTCACCAGTCCCCATCCCTCACACCTGCAGGGCACACTCACTATTTGGCAGAATCGTTGAGCTGATATTCCCGAGACCGGTTGAAGCACTCTTGGATCCCTGAGTCACCCCAGAGTCGCATCATGGCAGAAAGCAGCTCGGCAGAGAAGGGCTCTGTATCTTCCATGCGACTCACCACATCACACACCATCTTGGCATCAGCCTGCAGGGAGAGAGGGACAGCGGGCTCTGAGGCCTTGTGGGGCTCTGCCCAGCTAGGACTGTGGCAGAATATGCTGGCCAGAGTGCCAGCTTGGTCAGGAGGGGGCCACTCTGAGTCGTGCCTGGAACACTGGGGCCCCTTGGGCCTTGGGTCCCAGGAAAGCTCTAAAGCAGTACAGCACACAGGGCTCTGCTCCCCACCCTGCTGCTCAACTGGGGTGGCTCGGCTTTGAATACTGGGGTTTTGTACCAGTATTTTTTTGGGAAATAAATAAAAAGTCAGTGTTCTTGGCTAGTGTTGCAATCTCCTACATATTTTACCCAGGGTGGAACAAAGTTCCTGGAGCTGGGTTATGTGTTCTGAGTATTTGAGAATTGTGGTTGGTGGAGGGATTTCACCTCACAGCACTAAATTTCACAAATTTAGGCCCTTACGTTAAAACTTCATTGTGTTGATTTTTATTTATGTGTTTGTGACCTGTGGTTGCCAGTGAAGCCCAGGCATGGTTAAACAACAGAAGGGTAAAGGGACAAATACTGAGATTGGGAGCCTCTCTTTTGGCCTCCTTCCCCTCCTTTTCATCTGAGGAAGAGGAGTTGAATTTGCTTAAGACACACAGGACGAGACTGAGATTCCACTGGACAAGCAGAGAAAGCACTATATAATTCTTGGGGCCACCAAATGTGTCACCTATTTTCAGTGACTGCAATCAAGGATGCGTAACCTCCAAACTAGAAGTGCAGTGAAAGCTCAGAGGGCTTTTAGAGAAGTCACAAGTCACAAGACGGCACTATCAGCAGATCGCACATACGGAAGGTGCTTTACAGTTTACCAACGAGCTTTGTGTGCACACACTCCACTTTCTTAGAACTACACAGCCACCTCAGGAGGAAGCCCTGGAGCTGCTGGATGGGCTGCTTCTTCCCCCTCTTAATCTGTGCCCTCTGCCTTGCAGACTATATTCCCTAGGTGGAATATATTTCCTGCCCTGGGACTCTGTGGCTCAGGACTTGCTTTGGCCCACAGAATGATGCAGAGGCAGCAGTGTGCAAGTTCCTAAAGCCTTGCATGCTTGCTGGTCCCCCATGGACCTCCATCTTTACCTTGAATGTTCCCTGGCTCTCATTCCTCCCAGGAAGAGGAGCTAGTTTGTGCCATGCAGAGCTGAGGCTGCCCTGGATCTCTGATTCTCTGCTGAACAAAGTGGCTAGATTTAGGGGACGTTTTCCCCATGGCATTGCTGTGGCAATAGCAGAGCACACAGTAGTCACTCATGTTAGTCATAGCCTTTGTGTGCAAGCAGTAGCAATTAATCCCAAGTGGCCACAGAGAGGATGAAGGGATCCAGCATTAAGGACCAGAACCTCGACACTTTCCTGCTTCTCTCTTGTAGCTGTGTTCTGGAGGCTTCTCAATAGGTTGGGAGACACAGGTCTTGGTCATATCAGTGACTCTGGTAATATATCCTTTTAAGCTTATCTCACTTGAAAAATGCCACACTCAACAAGACATGACGCTACAGGGGCAGATCCAAGGGGTGGGTGGTGGGTGCCCAGCACTTCCAGGCTCTTCCTCCAGCTTTCTTTCTGTCTCAGCCTGGACACATATGTCCTGGAGCCACAGTACGACGGGGCCCCTGTTGGCCTGGGAGTGGGGTGCAGCAGGCTCCTATCTCGACCTCACAGGCCCTCCTGAGTTGAGGTGTTTTATTCATGGTTGTGGTTGATTACCCGGCAATCATATGATTACTCTGCTGTGAGTTCTTTCAACCCCAATACTCCAGTGAAGGCAGAGGAGGGAGGCTGTCCAGCCCTCGGCAAGGGGCGCAGGAAGTGGGTGGGGAGTGCTTGAGAGTCTGTAGGCCTCCTTTGAGTGGGAGAAACAAAGGAAACTAGGTCAGCACCTGAAAGGTTTGTGGCCAGCAAAAGAGTCTATACAAAAGTAAGTAGAGCCAAAGCCTTCTTGGTGACTTTTCCAGAACTGAGCTGTCTAAGTAGCTATTTACATGTCAGACTATCCATTGCAGAACGCTAGTGGGAAAGTTCTTGAAGCAGTACCCCTCTCACTGCCCTACGAAGGAAGCAACCACGGGCACGAGGTCTGGAAGGCCAAGACCACAATGCTGATCCGAATCCAGTCATCCACCCTGACCTTTGGTCCCAGGCCACCCTCACGCTATAGGGGCACCCACCAGGAAACCTGGGCTCCAGGGAGGGCCCCCTCCCCATCCCCACAGTAGTGACCTGGAAAGCTGGCCTGAGGCCTGGGTAGGCAGTGATGACTCAGGGAGGAGTGAGTGGGTGAGCAGGAGTGGTGCCTCCACTAGCAGCTAAAAACAGTTCAACACTTCCAGGCCTGTGAGTCAGGGCCCCAAGACTGTTCCAGCACCTGGAGCAGGGCTGCCCTCAGGGCTCAGGCTTCCCACCTGTGATGGAAGTCACGGACTCAGCCAGAGTTTCCTGAACCTCCTCCTCTGGGCCCCACCCTCCTGGTTTCTGCAGATCTATGAAGTGACCCATGCAGGGCAGGCTAGGCATGACTTTCTGTCAGGTAAGAGAAACTCCAATCTGAGTCCTCAGAGCCATACCATACTTTGCATCAAGGATTCATGGGGACTGCAGGTATACACTGTAGGCCCCCACAAAGCCACCCTGTACCCCCATGTTTGTTCCTCCACACATGACCATGCTCCCAGGGAGAGCCACCAGCCTGTAGTCTTCCTTCCAGTTTCCTTCCTCCCCGAGGTGTGCTGGGGCAGGAGGGGTCCTGTGCTGGCAACTCTCCCATCCCCTTCATGTTCCCACCTTGTCTTCCTCAGCTCAGTATACTCATGAGCCCAACTACTCAAACCCGAAGACCAGGATCTCTGCTTCCTTCCATACTGTCCTGCTGCCTTGTCTTGCTTCTTTCCATTCTGTGCACCACACAACAGCAGACCATCAGTTTTCTCCTAACATCAACTCTTCCCTCCTTTAGAAAAAGAACTCGCCAATTTTTTGCTGGGTACAATGACATCCAACTAACAGGTTGCATTTCCTAATTTTGCTTGCTGTTAAGTGTAACCCCATGACAAATCATGGATAATGAGATATGCTGAACTGTGTTGAGGTTTTTGGAAATGTAATTTTAAAGAGAAAGGCCACTCTTTTTTCTCTCACTTCCTCCTTCCTAATGCCCAGAATAGGGATAATGGTTGGAGCTCTAGCAGCCAACTTGGATCAGACAAGTTTTTCACCCAGAGGATAATGGAACAGTGATCCAAAATCAGCCTAGGTCCTGTGGAAATTCCTTACTATCTGAAGTCAGTAAGTGGTTTCTTTTTTAACACTTAAAATAAATTTCTGTCTTATTTAATCCACTATTTTTAGGGTCTCTAGCATTCACAGTCAAACTTAATCTCCCTGTTTAAACTCTTTGAATAGTTTCCCATCATTCCTAAATTTCAAACTCTTCACTGGGGACTATGAAGCCCCTACCTACCTCTCTGCCCTCAGAGCCTCCCACTCTCTTTCTTTTTGCTCCCCTCAAAATCTGGTAGACCAGCTTCAGAGTCCTCCATCTGTGCAGCACCCCTGCCCTACCCATCCCTATTTCCCACACTGGCAGTGTGACAGCCATCTCAAGTTAGCACTGGTGCTGTGTTCCTGTCCCACAGGGCAGTGATGCTTTCCTGATTTCTCATGGTGCCTGGGGTTTCAGTGTTCTGTATGGGGCTGGTGCTTAGCAAAGACTGAGGGATGAAGGACATCTGGTATTTTTTGTTTGCTTTTTGAGACAGGGTTTTGGTTTGTAGTTCAGGCTGGCCTTGAACTCACTATGTAGCTCAAGCTGGCCTCAGACTCACAGTGACCCTCCTCTCTCAGCCTCCTGAGTGCTGGGATTACAGGCATGAACCACTATATCTGCAACATCTGGTATTTTAATATTGGGCATGTCCCCACTGAGTACTGTGCTATGGCCAACAGACTTGCCTGATCTCAGACAAGGCCTGGTCAGCTGAGGCCAGAGCTCAGGACATGCTAGTGCAGCCCAGATTCCTAAACAATGTGCAGGGAGAAGGGTAAGAAGGCAGGGCCAGGCAGGGGTGGAGGGCTTTGCTGATATGCCCTGGAGGCCTGTGGAGGCTGCCAGGCTGGCCCAGCCCAGTACGTACCAAGTGTAACAAGCAATTAACAGAGCCAGAGCCCTTTTGAACCTTCAGGGGCCTGGGAACGAGGCCCACACTGAGCCTGACCCCCGTGTCCAGGACTCCTCTGGGGCCGGAGGTGTGGGGTGTTTTCCAGTACCTTTCTGTCTGCTATGTGGCACTGACACTTCTTTTTGGTCAGAGCATGCCTGGCGTCCAGACAACATGAGGGATGAAACATGCATGTCCTCAGGGCAGTTCACCAGGGGCTATGGTCTGAATATTTGCATTCCCCCAAACTCATATGCCAAAATTCTAACCCCCAGGGTGATGGTATTAAGAGGTGGGGCCTTTAGGAGGTCACAAGGATAAAGCTCTCAAGAATGGGATTAGTGCCCTTAAAAAGGCAGCAGAGAGACTTTCACTCTTTCCACCCTCTGAGGACACAGCAAAGAGCCTGCTACCTGTAACCAGAGGATCTGGTGGACATTGATCTTGGACTGTTCAAGCCTCCAAAGTGAGAAATAGAGTTCAGCGTTTATGCCTCACCTGTGGTCATGTCACAGTAGCGTGAACAGACGAAGATGGCAGAGCTGACCTACGGGAAGTTTCTGGTGGAGGCTGCTGGTGTTAAGGCCTCTAGGATGCATTCTGCATGCTTCTTCCCTGGCAGGGCCCAGATGCAAGGCAGTGGGCACGGACCTGTCCTTTCTCTCCATCCAGTTCATTTCTGCTGGGTGCTGTGCACTCTACTCAAGGCTTCCATCCTGCCCCCCTAACCTTTTCGGGCAGTGAGCCTCAGCTTCTCAAGAGGAATGTGCCCTTCTCTGAGCCAGTCTGAGTGGTCTGGGTGGGGATGACTCAGTCCCCTGAT